TGGATTTCATGTTTGCCAGTAAGCACACACACCCTTTTCCCAAAAATTTTTTTTTTTTTTTTTTTTTTTTTTTTTTTTTTTTTTTTTTTTTTGGGGGGGGGGGGGGGAGGGGGAAGTGCGTGTGTAAGTGGTACTTTGTCTGCTTTTGATGCTTGGGGCGTGTTCACGTTGCCACTTGTGTCATGCGCGCAGATCACGAGGTCTTGTTCAGCTATGAGGAGGCTATCGGCTTTTGCATCGGCACCAATGTTGTGGACAAGGATGGTGTTACGGCTGCCGCTGTGGCTGCTGAGATGGCCCTCTTCCTGGCTGCAGAGGTTAGTCGCCCTCTAAAGCTCCTGTTTCGTGATTTATTCGCTCCGTGTTTCTCTTGTCTCTCTGCTGCTGCTGCTGCTGCTCGGTCTCGGAGCACCCGCCTCGAAAACCGTTCAAAATGATGTGGTTTTAGTCTCTGTTGTCGCATCCATTCGTGAATGGCCCTTCGTTTCCGGCTGTGACCCCGCATCACCCGCCGCCTACACTGCCTCATGCCCTCTTCCTCGCGCTGGTGTTTGACAGGACAAGACACTGGTGAACAAGCTGGAAGAACTGTATGCCCTCTATGGCTACCACGCCACTTTCAACTCATACTACATCTGCCAGTGCGTCCTTTTGCCTCGCTGCTGCTGCCGCCAACATTGGTCTTGCTTGATCTGGATGATGCCCTTCATTACTGCTTGATCTATTTGTTCCATCACAGTGACAAGATGATTATTGACCGCATCTTTGGCAATATTCGCAAGGTAGGCTCAGCTGAAAAACTTCCGCCCGCTCATCTTACCATGACAAGCCTGATGTTTGGTGTCAGAGAGCCAGAACACTTCCGCCGCTACCGCGCCTCACGCCCCTCCCGCCCCTCCCGCCTCTTTGATCATCAAATACGCAGGATGGGCGTTACCCAGACAAGCTGGCGGGCGTGCCTGTGCGGGCGGTGCGCGACGTGACCATGGGCTTTGACAGTAGTCAGCCCGACCACGTGTCGCGCCTGCCCGTGCAATCGGGTCACATGATCACCTTTGTGCTTGAAAATAACCTGACCATCACCTTCCGCACCAGTGGCACAGAGCCCAAGATTAAGTTTTATAGCGAGCTCATCTCCTCGGGCTCCACTGCCAGCGAGCGCCAAGCGGTGGACGAACAGCTGCGCAGCTTGGTAACCCGCACAGTCGAGGATTTGATGCAGCCTGCCATCAACGGCCTTGTACCCAAGAAGGATTAAGCATGCCGATGAGCCATGCGCCCGCGTTCTCTTCAAGCTTGAGAATGAAGACGAATTCAAACCCCGACTATCAGAGGTTGCTCTGCTTATAGAGGTTGCTCTGCTTGACGATGAAACACAAGAAGATACTTTTCATGTCGAAACATGTTTGTCATGCATGTTCGCATTGACCGTTTCATGATTGTGTGACGTTCTTCTCTCTCTCTCTCTCACCCTCTCTGATGGTGATGGGCTACAACAACAAGCACATGGGCTGCAACGTTTACGTGTGAGCGTAAGTGTATTTTTGACCGTTTTTGGCGCTGAAGCTCAGTAAGTTTTGGCGGGAAAAAATAACAATGTTCGCGCTGGAACGAGACGGTCGAGACGGTGTAAGGCTGTTTCCCCCTGCTCCCACGGCTCACAGGTGAATGCTTATGCCCACCGATCACTCTTGTACCACAGCGGAGAAGATTGCATTTTTTTTTGCTCCACCCATTGGCTCTGCCGCTTTGCATTTCTGTCTGGGCTTGGGCTGCGTTGATGACAATACTTTGCCCATCGGTCCGCCCACGCGAGACGTCAAGCCATGGCGACCAGTGATGGCGGCACACAACCGCCGGTGATTACCGACGCCATGATTGCGGAGGAGGAACGCTTGCGTCAACAGAGCGAGGCCTCGCTCGAGTCAGAGCGCGCAAAGGTTGGTCTCAATACCACGACGCGCCTCTGCTGGTTTTCCAACTCACGGACGTGCATGCTCTGCGCCACTGCCCAGGCACGGGAAGAGTATGACGACATGGTTCAGCAGCAGCGCTTTGCGCGCCTCAAGCATCTTCTGGAGCGGAGCTCCCTGTACACTGACTTTCTCTACAAGCGCATGCAAGCACAGAAGGTGCGTTGCCCTTGGTGTGTTTGGCGGGCCATCCCTTTGGCGGGCCATCCCTTCTCTTTCACTGATTCGACTGGCCGCTTCACACAGGAGGAGGAAGCACGGCGCAAGGCGAAAAAACAGAATAAGGAGAAAAAAGCAGACGATGGCCCCAAGGCTTCAACCGCTCCCACCACGCGCCAACACGAGACGTCCTCTGGCGCTGGTGGCAAGCGCACGGCGACGCGGAACGGCGCTCCAGCTGCCAAGAGTGGCAAGACCAATCGCCCAGCGCACGCTGGCAAAAATCGCGCGCTGCGCGATGATGGCAACTATAAAATCACGGATTACGTCAAAGAGGACGTCATGGAGGAGGCACACGAGACCCATCAAGATGATGCTGTGATGGACGTTGACAACACCAATGCAGCCCATCACGAACAACCCGCCCTGGTGACGGGTGGCCGCTTGCGTCCCTATCAAATTGCAGGGGTTGATTGGCTTAAGGCGCTTTTTGAAAATGGCCTCAATGGCATCTTAGGTAGGCTGAAACACGCCATTACAATCAGATTATAGCCATGCACTGGTGCAATCCAATGAACTGCGGCCCGTCGATGTGCGCAAACTAACGTTGCGTTGCCGTTTGTACCCATGTAGCCGACGAGATGGGTCTAGGCAAAACCCTGCAAACCATTTCATTCTTTGCCCATCTCTACCAGCACAAGGTCAGGCAGCAATGACATCCGACCAGCAGACCTGCACAGACCTCTTCCTCTTGGCGGCTCCTCTTTCTCCCTCTCTCTCAAGCTCTCAAGCTCTCATGCTCTCTCTCGCACAATGATGGCATGACTCTGGCTTTTCCAGGTGCGCGGCCCCTATTTGGTGGTGGCACCCCTCTCAACACTCAGCAACTGGCACCGCGAGTTTAGCAAGTGGGCGCCCTCGATTCCCGTCGTGTTTTACCATGGTCACCCAGATGAGCGTGCTCAATTGCGTCGCCAAATCATGAAGCAAAATAATGAACTCAAGTCATTTGCCACCGTCATCACCAGCTACGAAATCGTTATGCGGGATCGCCGCTTCCTGCAGGTGAGATGCTAGCCGGGTTTTGGGGGGCCTTTGCCGATTGACGTCATGGTTCGAATTTGCCGCAACTCACTTTGAGGTGATTATCAACGCACAACTAGAATTTGGCGTGGAAATACATTGTGGTTGACGAAGGCCATCGGCTCAAGAACCTCAATTGCCGCTTGATCAAGGAACTGAAATCCTACCAATCGGCCAATCGCCTGCTTTTGACGGGCACCCCGCTACAGAACAATCTTTCCGAACTCTGGTCTTTGCTCAATTTCCTGCTTCCAGATATCTTTGATGATTTGGACAGTTTCCAGCGCTGGTTTGATTTTTCCGACATGGAGGGAGAGGACGCACAATCCGCGCTCATTGCCAAGGAGCAGGAAGACCAAGTGCTTGGCAAACTTCACCAGATCCTGCAGCCCTTTGTCCTCCGCCGCCTCAAGGTCTGTGGGCTCGTGTTGATCCCGCCTTTTCATTTTGCTTTTTCTGTTCGCTCTGTCTGTTTTTCTCCTTCGCCCCTTCTTTATTTCGCATGAAACGCGCTATCTCTTAACTGCGCGCCTGTCTAGACGGACGTTGAAGTGGACATTCCTCCCAAGAAAGAAATTGTTTTGTACGCCCCCCTCACACCCAAGGTGCGAGTGCTTGCCTCACAGAGACCTGGCCCGCGCCCCACGTCGCATGATCGCCATTCTCACCTGCCTGCTCTCTGATCTGTACATAGCAATCAGAATTATACACTTCGATCTTGGATAGCACCATCATGGAGTCGATTCATAAGAGCGGCACCACGGTACCGAGCCCATATTCCATCTCGTTTTATTTGGCATTCCTTTTTCTCCCCTTGATGCGCATACCAACCTGCTGCGCAACCTCACTCCATGCTCAAACTTTTATGGCTGTCTTTATAGGATACGCCTTCTTCCGACCAGAGCTCGGATGGTCGCTCCTCTCCACAATTGAATCGCCAGCGAGCTGCCAAGTCGAAAAAGAATTATCGCGAGTTGAGCGAAACGGATTTTTTCAATCGTGCCCGCGAGGCGCCCGATTATGTTAGCCGTTTTGTCTGCTGCTGACCCGGCGTGCTCCGGTCGGGATCGCGCACATGCTCTCACCGCTGCCAAATGTCTGCCTTGCTTGTTACAGCTTCCAGAGGCCAAGCCTGCCACGCTTTCCCGGGCTGAGGTACCAGCTTGACCACACGCTCACGCACGCGTTTTTTCGCCCCCCCGGTGGCTGGGTGTGGCCCACATCTCATTCGTCATTGTCGGTGTTTCATCATCACGTCTGCAGCTGGCCCAGCGCAACAGCTCGGCAGTTGTCAACGTCAGCTTACAAAATCGACTCATGCAGCTGCGTAAGGTCTGCAACCACCCCTACCTTATCGAATACCCGCTAACGGCCACGGTGAGACTGCCTTGTCATCGACGTGTGTGTAGCTATCATCTATACCGTATTTGCCGGTGTCATCAAAATCATGTACCATCATGCTGCATCTCGCATTCCTAATCGATGCATGGCGACATGGCCGTGTGCAGGGGGACTATCGCATCGATGAAGCCTTGGTGCAACAAGGTGGAAAGCTCAAGATTTTGGACCAACTGCTACCGCGCATCAAGGCGGAGGGCCGTAAGGTGCGCCCCTGGCCCAAAACGTCGCCTCAACAAAGCTCTTGCCACGCAATGCCACACAATGCTCACTGCGTGAACGTCGTTGACATCACGCGCCCCGCTGGCTACGACGCTCGCTCACATGGTGGTTTGCGGCTGCATGATCCAGGTCTTAATCTTCTCACAGATGACCAAAATGTTGGACATTCTGCAAGACTACTGCTGGTTGCGGGATTACGGCTTTGTGCGCCTTGACGGCTCTGTGCACTACACGGAGCGCGAGGAAGCGGTGAGCTGGCGGTCTCGTTTCTAATGACTCCGCCTGCCAGACGGTGCTCACTTTTTCCTTTTTTTTTTTTTTTTTAAAGCTGGATAAGTTTGCCAAGGATTCTGATACCTTTATTTTTCTTCTCTCTACGCGTGCCGGCGGCCTGGGTCTCAACCTTGTCAGTGCCGACACATGCATCATTTACGACAGTGACTGGGTAAGCAGGAGCCTGTTGGTCGTGTAGGCGACGGCGAAAATTAGTAAGACTGAATCGGCACAAGTTCGCCTTGCTCATGTACTGCTCTGGCACATGATGTTTTTGGTTTGTTTAGAACCCACAGCAAGACTTGCAGGCGCAGGACCGCTGCCACCGCATCGGTCAACGCAACGTTGGTGGCGGTTTTTGACATGATGCTTCGCCTCTCTGCCAATCATCAGCTTGTATGACGTATCGAGCTGACGCGTTGTTGCTTTTGGTGTGTTTGCTTTCCTTCATTTTTAGCCGGTTATCATTTATCGACTCATCACTGCAAACACGGTGGATCAACGCATCCTGGAGCGGGCTGAGAGCAAGCGACGCCTCGAAAAGATGGTGAGTGAGGGGCAAACTATTCCTCGCGGGATCGTTTTGTTTGAATCCCCTTGTTCTATCCTTTTCGAGATGAAGCGTCACAAGCATGCCCTCAATCGTGCAACCCCCTCGCTTAGGTCATGCACAAGGGCCGCTTCAAAGGCAAGGGCAAGGAAGTCAACCAGCTTGCAGCCGATGGTACGTTCGACTCCAAAGGGCTTTTGGGTGCATGCGTCCGCTTGCATCGCCTTCTCATGGCAACATGGGCACCTTGTTGGTGTTGTGGTCAACCATGCTTGCGCAGAGCTGCTCGAGCTATTGCAAGACGATGGTCGGGAGGTGTTACACGCTACCGATGCGGTTTGTGACCTGTCTTCTCCTGCTCAGGCACACAGTCGTGTTTGACTTTGTTCTCGTTCTCGTCTCATTGTTGTTCGCTCGGGACACCCAACAAACAGACGGTACTCTCCAAACAAGAGCTGAACCAAGTCTTGGATCGCAGCTTTGGTGATGCTTCGAAAGCCGCAGATGACAAGGTCGCTGAGGGCAAGGCCTTTCGTGTGCTTGATGTGGATCAGGGACGCCAGACCTTGTTTTAGAAGGCTTGGTGCCATTAATCAACTTCCGGTCTTTCTTTTTAAAATTCCCCTGTGTCTGCGTTGCCATTCCAAGCACGCCGTGTCTGTGCTTTCTAGAAAAAAATCCATGGCATTGTCTAACATCCTCCATACTGGTAATTGGCAACCAAACCCTTGGGAGGTCGGACGTAAAGTGATCAGATCAGCCAACTTTTCCCTGCTATCCATGGCACCTTGTTGACATGACAATGTCATTATGTATTGACTTGGACTTTAAAAAAAAAAAGGTCAAAAATTCGGGAAAAATGGATTGCAAAAAGAAGACTTAAAAGAAGGGGGAGGGGGAAGCGGTCAGAGGAACAGGAAGCACGGGTTTGACGCAAACAGAAAGCTAAGGGAAGTAGATCAAAATATAAGGACAAAGTCGGTCACAGGGATATGCGTTTGAAACTACAATATCGTTTGCACACCAACAAATTTGCTGGCAACATGACAAGAAAAAAAAAGGGGGAGGGGGCGCCACGACAGACGAGAACAACAAACGACAGCGCCTGCAGGCCAGGAACATGGACGCCAGACAATTAAAAGCCAGGACAATTAGAAGGCAGGAAGAAGAAGGCAGAGAAAAACCAAAACAAAGCATCGGCAGAGACGACACACAATCTAAAGAAGAACAGAGCTGCATGTGTTTGCCAGATTAATCGTTGTCAATGGTGCGGTGCACGACACGGGTGGCGTCTCCCCCGAGGTTCTTGCGTACATCAGTCAAGGCGCGCACCCAATCGTCAAACACCTGGCGCTCGGTGACAAGAGGATCATCGGTGAAGACCTGCATCTCGAGTTGGTCCCTGTCACCGTACTTGAGGATGAAGGCGGTGTTGTCGGTGCGCTGTGGATAGGAGATTTCATTGAGTTTGCCGAGGTGAACATAGCCAACCTCGGGTCCATCGACACTCTTGTACCAGGAAAGGAGGGCGCCCTCGAGAACAAACCAGAAGCGGTCCAGCTTGACCTTGCGCAGGGACAAGCGACGTCCCAAGGTCTTGACGGCCGAAGCCTTGCGGTCTGGTGGCAGCACAAACCACGCACTCTTATCGCCACGGGGCGGGGCGAAAACGCGCGTCGTAATCTCGACTTCCGGACCGATGGTAACACCAGCTTCGTTGCCAGCCAGAAGGCGGAAAGTGTAGCTAGTTTCAGGTTTGAGCATTTTGACGAGTGTGTGCGTCTTGTCTTTGGGAGGGGACACCTTGATCTCCTTGCCCGAGGAGGAGTCAAAGCCGCTGCTGAATGCTACCCGCGCGGGCATGATCTGGACGCGCAGGTTCAGGAGCACCTGCCCCTGAAAGCTCTGCCATTGAAGTGCCACCTGATCATGGCTGCGCTGCGATAGGTCCTCCTCAAAACCTGCAATAATGGGCTTGACGTTGGGGTCACCGTCATATTCACTGTTGGTGACGGGTTCAGCCGGTGTGTTGGGTACGGGTGTTGGCACTTGCGCGGGTGCCGCAGGTGCGGGTGCGGGTGCAGGTGCGGGTGCGGGTGCAGGTGCAGGTGCGGGGATGGATGTGGATGCTGCTTCAGCACTGGGGCTCTCCTCAAAGGATTCGTCGCCAAAGCCCATCTGTCCTTCGTCAAAGTCCTCCTCAGCCACCTCGTTCTCCTCCTCAAACCCAAATCCAAAGTCGTCAAACTGCTCGTCGAGTTCCTCCGCCATGTTGCAAGTTTGGCGCGACCCGATATCGCACAGCCTCGCACGGCCACGAGACTGTAGTCAAGACAAGTTCCAAAAGCCCAAGAGCAGCACGCGCGTGAATCAGCGCACAGCTGCAGCTCACTCTGTCTGTCAGCAAGGACAAAAACCATGGGCCAAGTTTGAGAGCGAGCGAGCGACGAGAGAGAGAGAGAGAGAAAAGAGTAATCTCCTTGTCAAATAAATCCAGACATCAACATCTGTATACCCAGACCACTGCCTTCATCTCGCCTGCGCGCCCTGTCCCAGCCCGCCTTCCCTGCCGCCGCCACAAGTCGGCAGACCAACCTTGAAAAGCTCCAAAAGTGCCTCCTTCGCCTCCTCCTTCTGTTGCTGTTCAAGACAAATTTAAAACTACACCAATAGGACTATTTGAAGCAAAAGCACGAGAAAGATTTACCTTGTACCACTATGTAAATCGATCGCCATCCTCAAAAACTCGTTTTCCAGAGACATTAACCCGCACTCCCACAAAGCTCTTTTGTCTTTGACCGACACTGACAGCTGGTAGCAAGCGGCTCTGGTCGCGGATGTCAGATGGTAGCATCTGCAGCTTTGCGAGAATGGCTATTGTTTTCACCTTGTTTTGCTGTTGAACGTATAGCATACAAGTGTAACCCTTTTCGCACTTACTTTTGCGACTACCAGTGCCGTTCCTTCTCTTTGTGCTGGTGCCTCGTGTCGCTGGTGCTCGGCAGGCAGCGGGATCGCCGAAATGGCGGCGTCACTGCGAGGCAATGGCCTCTATCTTTATAACCTTACCTTGCAGCATGCATCACAAATTACACATGCTGTACACGGTGTTTTTGCTGGGAACAAGCAGCAGGTATGTCACATAATCTTGCCCTGGCTCGTCTCCGTTGCCTCGGCTGGCAGCCATGAGTGGACTTGCCTCCTCGGTTCATCGGCTCCTCGCTGCTGAGGCCGATGGAGCTCGCTTTCAATCTTCTACAATTTGGCATTTTTGCATTTTCTATTCCAAGCCTTGTGCTCTGCCCCTGACCTCGTCTGGTCCCTGCTCTTTTTTGTACAGTGGATTGCCGCAGCGCATGGCAAGGTCCTCGAGCTTTACCGCCCTGACCCCAACTTGGGCAAGCTGATTCCCGTCTGCAGTACGTCATACTTCTGCCCTGTTTGATTCGTGTATCCGCCGCGACCATTGGCTTTCCAGTGCCTACTGTTAAGCGGAATCAGTGTCATTGCACTGTCCTGTGTGCGCCTTGGCTTCTCGCTCGCCCTGACATGCGGGCCCTCACCTCTTCATTATCCGCCCTCGCCGTGGGGCATTGTGGGTTGATTGCAGCCACTGAGATTTTTGGTCTCATCCGCGACTTGCGGGCTTTCCGCCTCACTGGTGGCACCAAGGACTACCTCATTGTCTCAACCGATTCCGGACGGTTTGTCGCATGCCCCGGGTCCTTGGCGAGTCAAGTCTGATTGGCTCGGCTGAATACGACCCACCTCATATCGCCACCTCATATCGTCCCACACTGCCTATAGCATTACCATTTTGCAGTACGATGTAACTGCCAACAAGTTGGAGCGCGTGCATATGGAAACCTTTGGCAAATCAGGTTGCCGACGCATTGTGCCAGGCCAATATCTGGCCACAGACCCCAAGGGCCGTGCCGTTATGGTTGGCGCCGTGGAAAAGCAAAAGCTTGTCTATATTCTCAATCGCGATGCAGCAGCACGCCTCACAATTTCCTCGCCCCTCGAGGCCCACAAGGGACATTCTCTGGTCTACGATATGGTTGGCGTCGACGTCGGCTTTGAGAATCCTCTTTTTGCCTGTCTCGAGCTGGACTACGAGGACGTTGATGAGGACCCATCTGGCGAGGCCCTGGAGCTCTTGGCCCAGACCCTGGTGTTTTACGAGCTTGATCTTGGTCTCAATCACGTCGTTAGGAAGGAAAGCATTGAGCTCGACTCATTTGCCAACAAGCTGATCCCGGTTCCAGGTGGAGCGGACGGTCCTTCAGGTGCGCACGCTTGGCTTCGTCTCGCCAATAGCGTCTTGGGCTCATCAACAAGAGGGGCCGCACGGTGAACCACGGAGCTGCTAGGCTCCGAATAAAAAGAAGAATGGAGGGATCTGTCGCCCCTCGCCCGTGAGGATCCGACCTTGTTTCACGCGCACCCTTCTCTCTTTGTCGGCAGGCGTGCTTGTGTGTGGAGATGGACAGATCACTTGGCGCACCGTTGGCGAGCACACACCCATTTCCGTGTCGATTCCGCGCCGCCTGGACCCGTTTCGCCAACCCCGCTCTACCATCATCAACGCTTTTTGCATGCACAAAACCAAGAAGACTTTTTTCTTCCTGCTACAAACAGAGGAAGGCGATCTGTTCAAGCTCACCATGGTGCACGATGAGGATGAGGTCCAGGGCATGATTCTCAAGTATTTCGATACAGTTCCCGTGGCCAAGTCCATGGTCCTGCTCAAAATTGGCCTTCTCTTCATTGCTTCGGAGCACGGCGACCAGTGCGTGCTGATGCCTTCTCACCCCCCTTTGACTCTTGTTTGCTGGCTTGCTCAGCCCAGCTGCATCCATCTCACCACCCATGCTTTTTTACGCACGACCACAGCCAATTGTACCAGATTGCCCAGCTGGGTGATAACAAGGACGAGCCCTCGTTTTTAAGTACCGAACCGGAGGACAAAGTCCGTTGCATCTTGACCTTCATTGAGCTCCTTCTTTCCTCTTTTTGTTTTTTCTGTCTTGTCCCTTTCCCCTCCCCTATTGCCGTGGTGTACCCGTTCTCACAGCTCCGTCGGTGCTCTACTCGCAGGTTTTGTACTTTCGCCCCCGTCCACTTTTGAACCTGGCACCCTTGGATGTGATCGAGTCTCTCGCGCCCGTCATGGACTGCCAGCTGGCCGATGCTGGCCAGCAGGACGGGCCTCAACTCTATGCACTCTGTGGCCGTGGCAGTGGTTCGTCGCTTCGGGTGCTCCGCCACGGGCTTGAAGTCTCTGCCATGGCCGAGTCACCGCTACCTGGCAATCCATCGGCTGTCTGGAGCGTGAAGCGCCACGTTGAGGATGAAGCTGACACATACATTGTCATGTCTTTTGTGGACGCCACCCTCGTGCTGGGTATTGGTGAAACAGTCGAGGAAGTCACGGACAGCGGGTTCCTTGGTTCTGTGGCCACGCTCAGCGCTTCGCGCATCGGCGACGATGCCCTCCTGCAGATCCACGCCATGGGTATTCGCCACATCCTGCACGATGGTCGCATCAACGAATGGAAGGCCCCTGATCGCACCAAAATTTCCCACTGTGCCGTGAACGAACGCCAAGCGGTTGTTGCCCTGAGCAACGGCGAGCTTGTCTATTTTGAGTTGGATCGTAGCGGCCAGCTCATTGAGCATTCAGAGCGCGTGGAAATGTCCAGTCAGGTGACAGCACTGGCCCTTGCACCCATCCCTGAAGGCGCACAAACCGCCCGCTTCTTGGCACTTGGTCTTGATGATCAGACCGTCCGTCTCATGTCCCTGGACAAGAGCGACTGCCTGGCTCCGTTGAGCATGCAAGCCCTTCCCGGTGCGGCTGCTAGTCTGTGCATGGTCGAGGTGCGTGGTACTCACGGCGAGCCCTCAGGCCTCAGCCTGGCCATCGGCCTGGGAAACGGTGTCTTGATGCGCTCGCGCGTCGATACCCTGACGGCCGATCTATCGGATACCCGCACACGCTATCTTGGCGCGCGTGCTGTCAAGCTTTTCCCCGTCAAAGTGGCGGAGGAACCTGCAGTCTTGGCCCTTTCCACCAAGCCATGGCTGAGTTACCGCTATCAAGGGCACTCACGTATCACCCCCTTGTCCTACGACGCGCTGGAGTATGCATCCGCCTTTAGTTCAGACCAGTGTCCCGAAGGCGTTGCAGCAGTGGCTGGCAACACTTTGCGCATTTTTGCTTTTGAAAAGCTGGGCCAGGTTTTCCATCAAAATTCCATCCCCCTCGAGTACACCGGCCGGCGCCTCCTTCTCGATCCCGAAGCCTCGCTGGCCTTTATCGCTGAAGGCGACCAGGGCTGCCTGTCCGTCACTGCCAAGGCCGAGCGGCTGAGCCGCATTGCTTCGCATCAAGCAGGCACGGCAATGGCGGAACAAACCGACCCTCAAGAGGATCTTACGAGTCCAGCTGCTTTGGCCGAACCTTTGGATGTAAAGCAGTTTGGTCAGTCATATGCTGGCGACAACTTGTGGGCCAGCAATATTCGCGTCGTAAACTTGGCACAGGGCGAGACGACCTGCCTCGTTCCCTTGGCTCAAGATGAGATGGTTATGAGGTTGGTCTTCCCCCCTTCTCCCCGATTTCTCAAATGGACATGGGATCTTGCCTCCCAACGCATTTTGCAAAATTGCGAATTTTGTCTGGGCTATCATACGCGCTGTGATTCTCATAGTCCCCATTCTTGAACCTGTGGTCATTTGCAGCCTCGCGCGGGTTCGTTTCGCTTCATCGCCTAACGACAAGCACATTGTCGCTGGCGTGGTCAAGGGCTGGAAGCCCAAGCAACAGAGTATGGACGGCGCATTCCTCTTGACGTTCCAGGTCCAAGGCGATCAAGTCGTGCTGTTGCACCGCACTGCCGTGGATGGTGGCCTTCCCTGTGCTCTTGCTGAGTTTGCTGGTAAAGTCTTGGCTGGTGTTGGCAATACACTCCGCATCTTTGATCTTGGCAAGAAAAAGCTTCTGCTCAAGACCGAAAATAGGGTAAGTTGCAACGTGGATGCATGTATCACGTCGTTTGCTACAGTTGCATTCGAGTGCAAACAGCAGTTCGATGGCTGGCTCACCGTGGTCGTGTGTGTGTGTGTGTGTGTGTGTGTGTGTGTGTGTGTGTGTGTGTTTCAATGATTTTTTTTTTTTCAATGCTCAGCAACTCCCCAGCCAAGTCGTTCACATCACAACGATGGGCACGCGCATTTGTGCGGCTGATCAAAAACACTCCTTCGTCTGGCTCAAGTACAAGGTGGGGCGCTGCCGCGTAACGCCACGGGCATGGTATCGGTTTTTGTCTCCCGTTTGAGCCTCACCACCTTTTTTCAATTCATCATTTCTAGCCAGCTGAGAACGCCTTGACCATCTTTGCAGATGATACCAATCCACGATGGTGCACGCGTGGCGTGTTGCTTGACTACCAGACCGTGGCAGGAGCAGACAAGTTCGGCAATTTTGTCGTGGTGCGTACCTTCTCAAGCTTCCTTTGAATAGTGCCAGGCGCCTTTTTCCCGTTTTTTTTTTCCTTCTCACCGATGGCTCTTTGTTCAAATTCCTCATGGGACTTTTGTTTACGCAGGCACGATTGGGCACAGACCTTACGGATCAGATTGACGATGATCCAACGGGCTCAAAGGCATTTTGGAGTCGCGGTATCTTGAATGGTGCCTCTCAAAAGATGGACATTCTGTGTAACTATCACGTGGGAGAGACAATTCTGTCGCTGCAAAAAGTAACGCTGGTTCCTGGCGGTGCTGAGTGCATACTCTACACGACCATGTCGGGCGGGATTGGCTTGTTTCTTCCCTTTTCGAACCGAGATGACTTTGAGTTTTTCACAAGTTTGGAGCTCCATCTGCGCCAGGAGCATGCGCCCTTGTGTGGCCGTGACCATCTGCACTATCGTTCGGCGTACTTCCCAGTCAAAGTATGTGTTTTGTCAACTGTACATCACCTTGATGTATTTGCAGATTGTCTGGAAGTGCCTTGGCACTGTCATTGCAACTGGTGAAGCTTATCGCCGCTCATTTGACTTGCTTTTTCTGGTAGTCGGTGATTGACGGAGACTTGTGCGAGCAGTATCCCCTCCTGTCTGCATCCGTCAAAAATGAGGTTGCAGAAGGGCTTGAGCGACCGACCACTGACGTTATCAAGAAGATCGAGGATATTCGCAATCGCTTTGCATTCTAAGCATGGAATTGTTCCACTGATTGTTTGCTTTCTTTGCATCACATGGAGTCCTGTCAAAAAATCAAAACTTCTCGAAAAAAGAAATGGACACAGAAACAAGAAAGAGGCATGTCATCGAAACTCAGACAACGCTATAAGACTGATGATAAACGCCATCCTCGGGGTCAAGTACAATGTAGTCTTCACTCGGATCAAGTGTCAAGAAAGCATCCACAGTTGACGCAGAGCCACATTCAGAATACACGGAGGTTGGGCGTGACAGACGATACGGGTTTGGTACCACATAATCGGGCAAATCCACCGTAGGCTGAAGAGTGTGCACCACAGGCACACCTATCTTCTCAGGCCTGATAACCGGTCGGCTTGAGCGACCATGGTTGGAGCGACTGAGCAGATCCATATCTGCAGCGCCACTCTTGAATCTGCTCGAGACTTCGTGAAGAAGGCTCGAAAGGGCTTCAAAAGTAGGACGATGGCGCGCCTTGAGGGCAAAGGCCTGGAGCATGATGCCATAAACGGCGTCCGGGCAGTCCTCGGGCTGGGACAAACGAAGCCCCCCAACCACCGACGCCGCGACCTGCTCGTTCGTCTGCCCCGGATAGGGCATGCCGCCGTGGGTAAAGAGCTCGTACAACAGCACCCCAAAGCTCCACACGTCCGACGCATACGAGAAGACACCGCTGCTAATCACCTCGGGTGCCAGCCATCGCATGGGCAACCCCTCCTGACACGAGTCCACAAATGTCTCCTGGGACTTGTCCAACAATACGCCCAAGCCAAAGTCACCAATCTACGCAATCCAGGCCAACATTTCGCGCAATAGGTGGAAAGCGAGACACAGAAGGGGGTTGAGACGAGGAGAGAGACAGAGACAGAGACAGAGACAGAGAGCCAAAAAAAGAAAAGAAAAGAAAAAAAAAAGCAAAGGAGGAATCATTGTGAGAGAGCCGCAGGACAAGAACCAAAAGGGGTTTACAAGCATGGACCCGCCAAGGAGGATCAGCCCGGGACAGACCCAGGTCGAACAAGGCGAGGAGCATGGCAAGCAAGCAGAGGTTTGTGTTGTACAAACGCGCGAAAGCGTGTGCGCAACCGTACCTTGGGCACAAGACGACGGCTCACAAACACATTGCGAGCTGCCAGATCACGATGGACGATGCGCAGCTCGCTCACAAAGGCCATGCCCGAGGCAATGCCTTCCGCAATGTCGCACAACCTGGGCAGACTCAAGCCCCCATCCTCGATGTTGCTGTTGCTGCTCGGTTTGTGCTCGTGCAGGTAGTCGCGGAGGTTGCCCAGAGGCATCAGCTCTACACACGTACAGGCACATACGGGCACAGATGTACAGGCACACACACACACATATACAGGCACATACGGGCACAAACATACACACACAGGCACATGCATGCAGGCATAGCAGCGCCAGGAAGAGGGAGAAGACGTGAGAAGGGGGTCGCGTCAAGCATGGACCAAGGCGAGCCTCAACCACGACAGTCACGTACCAGTGGCCAGCATCATCGGGCTTTCTTGAGTCACCTGGCCACAAATTGTCAAGACCTAACGCCGACACCGGCAACACGCGCCCCCCCGCCAAACGAAAGCAGACAGGCAACAACACGCCACGATGTGAGAATCCATTCGTGTATGCGCGGGTCAAAGCACACGTGCGAAAGCTTGGCAAGTGTCGTCAAAAAACGACGCCTCCTTGCTCATCCACCCAGAGCCCGATGGAACGTACATTGCGATGCGGCCCAGCGCGGTGAAGCAGCTTCATAATGTGCATCTCAAATGCAAACTGTCGCTGTTGACGTGAGCCATGACCCCGAGTCAGCATCTTGACAGCCACGGGCACTCCCGCTTCACTGCCGTGGCTCTTAAGCACCTAAAAGCACGCACATGCCGCACAGCGCAGCATGCATGCAAACACACACACACACACACACACACACACACACACACACACACACACACACACACACACACACACACACACACACACACACACACACACACAAGCAAACAGACAACAGATCATCGCAGATACACCGTGTCAGCAAGGCTTGAGACATCCCTACTCGAGCAAAGTGGGCACCCCGCACCCCGCACCCCGCTGCCACTCACTCAAGCCTTCGATGGGGCCCAACCTCAGCCTCGAATCACACCCACCCAGTGTCACACCCACCATCACGCATCACCAAGACCCAAACTTACCGCTTGCACCACTTGGCCATACGCGCCTTTGCCCAGCTCCTTGCCAAGGACAATGTCTGCCACATCCACCTCATACTCGTCTGCCTGCGGCTTAAAGTCTTGCAGCAGGCGTTGAGCCCGTCGGCGGTGACGCACCACCGCCAAGCCAAGCAAAAGCAGCACCGCAACCGCCAACACGGGTAGCAACCTGGTCCCCGTCAGCGACCACGGGTCCTCCCCGTCCGAACGGCTTGCCTCAATCTCCGTCGCCACCAGGCTCCAGTCACTCCAGCCAGCCGCGGTACGGGCTCGGACCTGATACACGTCGTCTGGGCTGGTGGTCCAAAGGCCAAGCTCCGTTGCGTTGCCGCTCGTGTTGGTGCGCATGCCGCTCTGATTCAAGTTGATACCGACCTCATAGCCCACGAGGATGCCATTGACCTCGGCAGGCATGTCCCACACCAGGCTCACATTGTATTGGTTCTTGCCAGCCACAAGCTTCCGCTGCACCTGCACGTGGCGTGGGGCTGAGGGTGAGGCCTCTGGGGTCATGAAGGACATGGCCATGACTGGGCCGGCCCCCGCTGAAGTGGCAGCCGAGACCTCCAAGGTGTACTGAGTGTAGGGAAGCAGGTTGCCCAGGGCCAGCTCGCGAGCCAACAAGGCCCCGCCCTCGCTGAGCTCCGCTGTGCTGTTCGCCGTGCCGTTCTGCACGCTGCCGCTACGCTCGGTGCTTCCGGTCACCGTGGGACAGGTATGGTCGGCACACGATAGGGACCATGGCCACCGAGTAATGGGGCCATTGGCCACGACGGGGTCATCCAGTTCCAGGGTCAGGCCCCGGGCATGAACCATGGTCCTAGCCACGACGGGCGGCGAGTCTGGCCGAGCCGTGGCCGTCCGAAACACAGTCTCGGCCTGAAGTGGATCGGAAAAGTACCCGTCGCCATCCGAAAGGTATGAGACCAGACGGTATTCGGTGTAGGGTTGTACGCAGGCGGGAGCTGCATCCTCGGTCGAGGTCGGCTGACAAGTCTCTGGAACCAGGGTTGGCGAGGCAGTCGTCAGCTGTGGGCGGTGGGCCGTCGCATTGTCTACCCACTCCACACCAGACAGCTGCTCGAGGCCCACATGCTCGACATAGGCGTCCAGAGAGGCATCGGTGCTGCGCGAATATCCGATGCGGCGTGCCTGTGCAGCAATGCGATCGGCCACAACGCCCATGGTCGGCTTCCCGCGCGCACTGATTGGATGTGGGTCGCTGCGAACAACGTGCTGGCGGCCAGCAATGACAAAGGACGCCTGAACCATGAGCTCCACGTTCTCCCAGTCGTCCACGCAGTTGACGTCGCCCGGTCGGCGACAGCGGTCCACCTTCATGGTGGTTTTGGTGTCCGTGTGGACCTGGCGCCACGAAGTGATGGACGTCAGAATGCGGTTGACCACACTGGTGGCACGGGCAGCGGTCAGTTCAATGGCCTCGAGACCCGGGGCAGCCTGCACACCACGGCGCAGAATGGCGGTGAGAGCATCGGCGTGTTGCTGCGGGGTGGCTTTGCGGAAGAAGAGTGTGTAGAGAATGTCGATGCGTTTGCCAGCCACCTTGGGTGGCTTGACAACGACAACAAACTTCTGCGGGTTGACCAGTGCCTGCTTGATCTGGACGGCGTAGAGCTGTTCGAGCTCATCCTCGCGCTCACGAAGGACGAGGGTATTGATGGGTGCAACCTCGACCAGGCTGGCGGCCGTGATGCTCGACTCGACCAGCATGGCGGCCATGTCCTCGATCGTCACATTGGCCAGGGCCCGCGTCGTCTGATCCAACATGGTGCTGGCCACGTTGACGTTGAGCTGCAGCGTCATGTCCACCTCATTGGCACGGCGGCGCCGGCCAAACTCGTTGTCGTTGCCGTTGTTGTTGCCGTTGTTGTTGTTGTTGTTGTTGTTGCTACGGCTTTGCGGTGCCCAGCTCACCGAGATGTTGGCAAGGCCAAGGCGAGTCGAGATCAGGTTACCGAGCAAGGCCAGAACCTCTGGCGACGCCGCATGCTCGGCGTCCACATCAGTCATCCGCACCGCAAAGCTCTGCTCTGCGGCAGCCGCCGCATCACACGCGCGATCACCATAGGGCCCACCCGCATCGCACAGGACGGCGTTGTTGGTGATGACCATGGGAACACCAGGCTTCAGTGACTTCAATCGTGCATCCACCAGATCAGGATTGCCCGAGAGCTCGATCGAGCTGGCACCGGCCACGCGATCCAAAAAGCCCAAGTGCGTCAAATCAACATTGTTTCGCACGACCAGCCGACCCGCAATAAAAGCCACCTCGTGCAACCGGGCATAGAGCTGACCCTCGGTCAGGGCCGTGGCATCCAGGACCAAATCGCCTTGCACGTACTGGCAGCCATAGGCCAAGCCCTTGAGAACGGTGCTGCTGGTACACGTGCGAGGACAGCTGACGCAGGCGGCCGTGCAGGCGTGACGGCCCGTCCCGGGATCGGCCACGGGGTCGATGAACATGGGGCACACATTGCCTGCCGTACCGTCGGTGCCCAGGGATGTGTTGGCCAGTTCGGCTGGGATGGAAAAGCTGGTCGCCAGGCGTTCATCACTGGCCCACCATAGGGCATTGGTGCGATCCGGGGTGACAACGTGCGCGGCGCGAAGCGGTGTGTTGCTGAGAAGGACGCCGCCGTTGAGAGTGGAGTCGAGGACATCAAGGAGGGAGCTGTTGCTGCTGCCAGCCCCCGTATCGGGCGTGGACAGAGAGCAGTTGATGAGGGCCAGGCTCTCGCCCTGAAGGGTCGAGTTCTTGAGCTTGGCTTGCAGCTTGGCCACGGTGGGGTCGCGACCGGCCACCTGGTTCCGACGCTGCTGAACCAGGCCTTGGTCCGAGCCCTTGAGCAACTGGGCCAAAGTCTCGAGCTCGACATCATGAATGGCGATGAGCTCGAGGTAGCCACCCACCGAGGTCAACGTGTGGAGGAGCTCCTGGACCAGGCCAGGGCTGAGGCTGCCCGAGGCATTGTTGAGGGTGAGACTGCCCAGGAAGGCGACACAATTCAGGTCCAGGATATGAACCAGGCCGGCATCGTCCATGACCTCGAGGGAGGGAGGCAGCGCACTGCAAGCCAGCTTCCGCTCGCAGCGAGCCCCGCTGGTCCAGCCGGGACAGGTACAGGTATAGCTCGGTGTCGGCTGCTCTTGATTCCAGGTACAGGAGCCCGTGTTGAGGCAGGGTTCGCTGGCGCAGGGGTCGAGGGAGATGTTGCAGTAGGGCCCGCTTTGTAGGGCAGTGCACGAGCAAGAGAAGGAGCCAGGCACGTTGTGGCAAGTGGCGCCGTTGGCGCAGGGGTTGAAGGTAGCGCATTCGTCCTGGTCAGTGCGACAGTCGGAGCCGACCCAGCCCGGCATGCAATGACACTGACCCTGGTAGAGGTCGCCGATGCAGGTGCCACCATTGTAGCAGGTCATGAGGGCGCAGGGTTCGGTGATGCAGGTGTAGGATTCCGACGTTTGGACACAGTGCTGGCCTGGAGCCGAACAGTTTGGACAGGGGGAGGTATAGGTGTCGCATGTGGGGCCGCTGTGGTGTTGAGGACAGTCGCACGTGTAGCCGCCGATCGTGTTGGTGCAGCTACCCCCGTTGAGGCATGGGTTGGCCTCGCCATCACACTCGTTCACGTCCGTCTCGCAGTTGCTTCCCGTGTATGTCGCGGGGCAGTCGCACGTGTAGCCACCGATCGTGTTGGTACAGCTGCCCCCGTTGAGGCATGGGCTGACTCCGCGATTACACTCGTTCACGTCCGTCTCGCAGTTGCTTCCCGTGTATGTCGCGGGGCAGTCGCACGTGTAGCCGCCGATCGTGTTGGTGCAGCTACCTCCGTTGAGGCATGGGCTGGCTTCGCCATCACAAGGGTTTTGCCGCATGCAGGCGGAGTCGATGCATGCGAATCCCTCTGGACATTCAATTGAATGCGCGCACCACTGAGAGGAGCAAAATGGAGCTGCAGATCCTCCATCGCAAACACAATATGAATTCACGCAAGCGCCACTTGTGCCGCAGTCAGAACTTTGCCTGCACATTTCTTTGAGGGCTTCACGCGACGCGCGAGGGATCCCCTCGTTGAGAATAAGCACGTCATAAAATTCTCCACGGAAGTTCCAGCCGGTTTCATACACATCACTGGCCACTGAAGATGGAGACGCTATTTTTCATCGTGTAATTGCACAGAAAGTGAGTCCGTCACTCTATGAACTACGGTGCGGTCCTCGAAGCTCAGGGACCTACCCCCAGCAGATGATCTTCGAATGAGGCCTCCAAGCATCCAAGGGCCGTTGTTGGAATAAAAGGCTGTGAATCTCGTAGCAAAGACAGTGACATGAGCACGATTGTTTGTCGATGAGTCATTCTCTATATGGCTGGGGCTCGACGACACACCTGCCGTTGATGCTGTGATGCATTTGGCGTAGCTACCAAAGCCGTAGCATATTTGATTTGGTTTCACAATCAAGTGTCCCTATAATATCAAGTACATTGGGTTTAGGCTTTGGCAGGTCTCGACAGCAAACCGCATCCTTTCGTCTGCACAGACCTGGAAGCGAATGTATAATCCGACAGGCATTCCAATGCAGTCGTCTCTCAATTCAGAGGTGGATGACTCTGAGAAAGCGACGCAGAGCTGTCAAACCGGTTTCAACATGAGTTGGCTTAGCCTGGGCACATAAAAAATCCGCATTGCCTTGCTAAGAGCATACATAGTTGCTGAGGATGAAAAGACCAATGTCTCCGCCTTCGGCAAAGTCGACATATGTCGGCTCGTAGTCGCGCTGTGCTTTTGCGAGGAGTGTGCCATCCGCCGTGGAAAATCTCATGAAATCAAACACCGCTTCAACTAATGTGAGCGCGAATCGCACCAGGAAGTGTGGGTGAGGGAAGGCGAGAGGAGAGAGGAAGAGGAGAGGAGAGACACTGATGATGTGAGACAGAGTTTGGAGAGCTGGAAAGCAACGTACAGGGTTGGTGAAAGACGCTGTGATCAGGAATGAAGACTGCGGTTGTTTGCTGCCATTGAGAGATGGGTAGAGGGTTGAGCAGGCATCAGCTGGATAACACCGCTGAGCAGCAGCCGTAAGATATCTCTAGAATGCCCAGCACCTGCACCGTACCGAGCTGAGGTCTCCTAGATTATGTTGATAGATGCTTGTGTCTGCAGGTGGGCTTCGTGCTGGGTTAAAGCGAAGGAAGAGCTGCAAGACATAACGAGGAAGGTGTGAGGCAGGTGTCTTGGGACCAAGAAGTTGGTTGCCTTTGGCGTTTGAATGTAGCGACACAGACCTCATCTCGCCCAGCATGGACCAACAGGAGCATAGCCAGCGCGATCACGGCGGCGTGTAAAAACCCGGCCATGGCTCGTGTGCTACCGCCCAGCGTCTGGGCCAATCGCGCTGCAGCGGTGGCAATCCTTGACAAGCTGCCACCTCTGGTTGACAAACGAGAGTGCGTCCTGCTCGTGTTCTAGCGCCGAAAACAGACAGGTGGCTGGGGGTGCAGTTGTAGGCGATTAAAAAGGATGTGGCGGAGGTATGATTACTCGAGGAAAAAGAAAGGCTGCTCGCACTCTTGAGCCCAAGTCGTGCAGCGACACAAGAGACCAGTTTGTGTGGGTGCCAAGGCTGCGTGCAGACGTTGCTCCTTGTGGTTTGTATTCCTCTGAGGACAACCCCGACTGTGAAGTTACGCTGCGCAAGAAGCATAGAAGGGCTCAAGCTTGGCAGGGTTGGAGCGGCGTCTCCCCGCTCGTGCAAATGGAACCTGCAACCCCACCTTCCCAGCTGCCCAAACCGCTACATACCTTCACGGCTTTCCCACAACACGAGACGAGGGATCAAGGCAGAGGAGCACTTTCAGCCATGATGTAGCGGACACAACGCACGCAATCCAACAATCCAACATGCTCTCCCCCCCACATCCTCGTGTGTCAGGCATAGACACCACAAGCAGCTAAAGGCTGAATGCCTTTGTGGCGCAAAGCAGAGAAAAGCTCAGGGCACGTTTAGTACGAAAGTCAAGCGTCCCTCAGCGCAAGCACCAGCCGCCTGAAATAATCTGTGTCCTTGCCACTCTGATAGTCCGGACGGGCCCATCAAGGATTCGTGACAACCACCAGGAAAGATTGTCCGCTGGGCCATGAATGAAAGGAAGGCACTCCTCATTATTGTTGACCTTGACTCGACCTGGCCCGCCCTAACCTCCTTCCTGCTCTGCTTCGTTTGGGTGAGGATCAACACCGCGTCCGATGACAGGCATGCATTTGTGACTGTTCAATTAAGGACAAGGACAGGAACGAGCGCTGATCTCATGACGACTCGATGTTTCTAAATAACACTGTAAGATTGATGATAAACGCCATCCTCGGGGTCAAGTACAACAAAGTCATCGCTCGGCATGAGCGTAAAAAAGGCATTGGAGCTGGCAGTGGAACCACGCCCAGAATACACTGAGGCGGGGCGTGACAGACGATACGGGTTTGGTACCACATAATCGGGCAAATCCACCGTAGGCTGAAGAGTGTGCACCACAGGCACACCCTTTTTTTGTGTCGAGTGTAAAGCGCCTTTGCGGCGGCGGGTGCTCGATCGGCCCAAAAGGTCCATATCTGCAGCGCCACTCTTAATGCGATGGCACACTTCTTGAAGCAGGCGCATAATAGCAGAGAAGGTAGGACGATGGCGCGCCTTGAGGGCAAAGGCCTGGAGCATGATGCCATAAACGGCGTCAGGGCAGTCCTCGGGCTGGGACAAACGAAGCCCCCCAACCACCGACGCCGCGACCTGCTCGTTCGTCTGCCCCGGATAGGGCATGCCGCCGTGGGTAAAGAGCTCGTACAACAGCACCCCAAAGCTCCACACGTCCGACGCATACGAGAAGACACCGCTGCTAATCACCTCGGGTGCCAGCCATCGCATGGGCAACCCCTCCTGACACGAGTCCACAAATGTCTCCTGGGACTTGTCCAACAATACGCCCAAGCCAAAGTCACCAATCTACGCAATCCAGGCCAACATTTCGCGCAATAGGTGGAAAGCGAGACACAGAAGGGGGTTGAGACGAGGAGAGAGACAGAGACAGAGACAGAGACAGAGAGCCAAAAAAAGAAAAGAAAAGAAAAAAAAAAGCAAAGGAGGAATCATTGTGAGAGAGCCGCAGGACAAGAACCAAAAGGGGTTTACAAGCATGGACCCGCCAAGGAGGATCAGCCCGGGACAGACCCAGGTCGAACAAGGCGAGGAGCATGGCAAGCAAGCAGAGGTTTGTGTTGTACAAACGCGCGAAAGCGTGTGCGCAACCGTACCTTGGGCACAAGACGACGGCTCACAAACACATTGCGAGCTGCCAGATCACGATGGACGATGCGCAGCTCGCTCACAAAGGCCATGCCCGAGGCAATGCCTTCCGCAATGTCGCACAACCTGGGCAGACTCAAGCCCCCATCCTCGATGTTGCTGTTGCTGCTCGGTTTGTGCTCGTGCAGGTAGTCGCGGAGGTTGCCCAGAGGCATCAGCTCTACACACGTACAGGCACATACGGGCACAGATGTACAGGCACACACACACACATATACAGGCACATACGGGCACAAACATACACACACAGGCACATGCATGCAGGCATAGCAGCGCCAGGAAGAGGGAGAAGACGTGAGAAGGGGGTCGCGTCAAGCATGGACCAAGGCGAGCCTCAACCACGACAGTCACGTACCAGTGGCCAGCATCATCGGGCTTTCTTGAGTCACCTGGCCACAAATTGTCAAGACCTAACGCCGACACCGGCAACACGCGCCCCCCCGCCAAACGAAAGCAGACAGGCAACAACACGCCACGATGTGAGAATCCATTCGTGTATGCGCGGGTCAAAGCACACGTGCGAAAGCTTGGCAAGTGTCGTCAAAAAACGACGCCTCCTTGCTCATCCACCCAGAGCCCGATGGAACGTACATTGCGATGCGGCCCAGCGCGGTGAAGCAGCTTCATAATGTGCATCTCAAATGCAAACTGTCGCTGTTGACGTGAGCCATGACCCCGAGTCAGCATCTTGACAGCCACGGGCACTCCCGCTTCACTGCCGTGGCTCTTAAGCACCTAAAAGCACGCACATGCCGCACAGCGCAGCATGCATGCAAACACACACACACACACACACACACACACACACACACACACACACACACACACACACACACAAGCAAACAGACAACAGATCATCGCAGATACACCGTGTCAGCAAGGCTTGAGACATCCCTACTCGAGCAAAGTGGGCACCCCGCACCCCGCACCCCGCTGCCACTCACTCAAGCCTTCGATGGGGCCCAACCTCAGCCTCGAATCACACCCACCCAGTGTCACACCCACCATCACGCATCACCAAGACCCAAACTTACCGCTTGCACCACTTGGCCATACGCGCCTTTGCCCAGCTCCTTGCCAAGGACAATGTCTGCCACATCCACCTCATACTCGTCTGCCTGCGGCTTAAAGTCTTGCAGCAGGCGTTGAGCCCGTCGGCGGTGACGCACCACCGCCAAGCCAAGCAAAAGCAGCACCGCAACCGCCAACACGGGTAGCAACCTGGTCCCCGTCAGCGACCACGGGTCCTCCCCGTCCGAACGGCTTGCCTCAATCTCCGTCGCCACCAGGCTCCAGTCACTCCAGCCAGCCGCGGTACGGGCTCGGACCTGATACACGTCGTCTGGGCTGGTGGTCCAAAGGCCAAGCTCCGTTGCGTTGCCGCTCGTGTTGGTGCGCATGCCGCTCTGATTCAAGTTGATACCGACCTCATAGCCCACGAGGATGCCATTGACCTCGGCAGGCATGTCCCACACCAGGCTCACATTGTATTGGTTCTTGCCAGCCACAAGCTTCCGCTGCACCTGCACGTGGCGTGGGGCTGAGGGTGAGGCCTCTGGGGTCATGAAGGACATGGCCATGACTGGGCCGGCCCCCGCTGAAGTGGCAGCCGAGACCTCCAAGGTGTACTGAGTGTAGGGAAGCAGGTTGCCCAGGGCCAGCTCGCGAGCCAACAAGGCCCCGCCCTCGCTGAGCTCCGCTGTGCTGTTCGCCGTGCCGTTCTGCACGCTGCCGCTACGCTCGGTGCTTCCGGTCACCGTGGGACAGGTATGGTCGGCACACGATAGGGACCATGGCCACCGAGTAATGGGGCCATTGGCCACGACGGGGTCATCCAGTTCCAGGGTCAGGCCCCGGGCATGAACCATGGTCCTAGCCACGACGGGCGGCGAGTCTGGCCGAGCCGTGGCCGTCCGAAACACAGTCTCGGCCTGAAGTGGATCGGAAAAGTACCCGTCGCCATCCGAAAGGTATGAGACCAGACGGTATTCGGTGTAGGGTTGTACGCAGGCGGGAGCTGCATCCTCGGTCGAGGTCGGCTGACAAGTCTCTGGAACCAGGGTTGGCGAGGCAGTCGTCAGCTGTGGGCGGTGGGCCGTCGCATTGTCTACCCACTCCACACCAGACAGCTGCTCGAGGCCCACATGCTCGACATAGGCGTCCAGAGAGGCATCGGTGCTGCGCGAATATCCGATGCGGCGTGCCTGTGCAGCAATGCGATCGGCCACAACGCCCATGGTCGGCTTCCCGCGCGCACTGATTGGATGTGGGTCGCTGCGAACAACGTGCTGGCGGCCAGCAATGACAAAGGACGCCTGAACCATGAGCTCCACGTTCTCCCAGTCGTCCACGCAGTTGACGTCGCCCGGTCGGCGACAGCGGTCCACCTTCATGGTGGTTTTGGTGTCCGTGTGGACCTGGCGCCACGAAGTGATGGACGTCAGAATGCGGTTGACCACACTGGTGGCACGGGCAGCGGTCAGTTCAATGGCCTCGAGACCCGGGGCAGCCTGCACACCACGGCGCAGAATGGCGGTGAGAGCATCGGCGTGTTGCTGCGGGGTGGCTTTGCGGAAGAAGAGTGTGTAGAGAATGTCGATGCGTTTGCCAGCCACCTTGGGTGGCTTGACAACGACAACAAACTTCTGCGGGTTGACCAGTGCCTGCTTGATCTGGACGGCGTAGAGCTGTTCGAGCTCATCCTCGCGCTCACGAAGGACGAGGGTATTGATGGGTGCAACCTCGACCAGGCTGGCGGCCGTGATGCTCGACTCGACCAGCATGGCGGCCATGTCCTCGATCGTCACATTGGCCAGGGCCCGCGTCGTCTGATCCAACATGGTGCTGGCCACGTTGACGTTGAGCTGCAGCGTCATGTCCACCTCATTGGCACGGCGGCGCCGGCCAAACTCGTTGTCGTTGCCGTTGTTGTTGCCGTTGTTGTTGTTGTTGTTGTTGTTGCTACGGCTTTGCGGTGCCCAGCTCACCGAGATGTTGGCAAGGCCAAGGCGAGTCGAGATCAGGTTACCGAGCAAGGCCAGAACCTCTGGCGACGCCGCATGCTCGGCGTCCACATCAGTCATCCGCACCGCAAAGCTCTGCTCTGCGGCAGCCGCCGCATCACACGCGCGATCACCATAGGGCCCACCCGCATCGCACAGGACGGCGTTGTTGGTGATGACCATGGGAACACCAGGCTTCAGTGACTTCAATCGTGCATCCACCAGATCAGGATTGCCCGAGAGCTCGATCGAGCTGGCACCGGCCACGCGATCCAAAAAGCCCAAGTGCGTCAAATCAACATTGTTTCGCACGACCAGCCGACCCGCAATAAAAGCCACCTCGTGCAACCGGGCATAGAGCTGACCCTCGGTCAGGGCCGTGGCATCCAGGACCAAATCGCCTTGCACGTACTGGCAGCCATAGGCCAAGCCCTTGAGAACGGTGCTGCTGGTACACGTGCGAGGACAGCTGACGCAGGCGGCCGTGCAGGCGTGACGGCCCGTCCCGGGATCGGCCACGGGGTCGATGAACATGGGGCACACATTGCCTGCCGTACCGTCGGTGCCCAGGGATGTGTTGGCCAGTTCGGCTGGGATGGAAAAGCTGGTCGCCAGGCGTTCATCACTGGCCCACCATAGGGCATTGGTGCGATCCGGGGTGACAACGTGCGCGGCGCGAAGCGGTGTGTTGCTGAGAAGGACGCCGCCGTTGAGAGTGGAGTCGAGGACATCAAGGAGGGAGCTGTTGCTGCTGCCAGCCCCCGTATCGGGCGTGGACAGAGAGCAGTTGATGAGGGCCAGGCTCTCGCCCTGAAGGGTCGAGTTCTTGAGCTTGGCTTGCAGCTTGGCCACGGTGGGGTCGCGACCGGCCACCTGGTTCCGACGCTGCTGAACCAGGCCTTGGTCCGAGCCCTTGAGCAACTGGGCCAAAGTCTCGAGCTCGACATCATGAATGGCGATGAGCTCGAGGTAGCCACCCACCGAGGTCAACGTGTGGAGGAGCTCCTGGACCAGGCCAGGGCTGAGGCTGCCCGAGGCATTGTTGAGGGTGAGACTGCCCAGGAAGGCGACACAATTCAGGTCCAGGATATGAACCAGGCCGGCATCGTCCATGACCTCGAGGGAGGGAGGCAGCGCACTGCAAGCCAGCTTCCGCTCGCAGCGAGCCCCGCTGGTCCAGCCGGGACAGGTACAGGTATAGCTCGGTGTCGGCTGCTCTTGATTCCAGGTACAGGAGCCCGTGTTGAGGCAGGGTTCGCTGGCGCAGGGGTCGAGGGAGATGTTGCAGTAGGGCCCGCTTTGTAGGGCAGTGCACGAGCAAGAGAAGGAGCCAGGCACGTTGTGGCAAGTGGCGCCGTTGGCGCAGGGGTTGAAGGTAGCGCATTCGTCCTGGTCAGTGCGACAGTCGGAGCCGACCCAGCCCGGCATGCAATGACACTGACCCTGGTAGAGGTCGCCGATGCAGGTGCCACCATTGTAGCAGGTCATGAGGGCGCAGGGTTCGGTGATGCAGGTGTAGGATTCCGACGTTTGGACACAGTGCTGGCCTGGAGCCGAACAGTTTGGACAGGGGGAGGTATAGGTGTCGCATGTGGGGCCGCTGTGGTGTTGAGGACAGTCGCACGTGTAGCCGCCGATCGTGTTGGTGCAGCTACCCCCGTTGAGGCATGGGTTGGCCTCGCCATCACACTCGTTCACGTCCGTCTCGCAGTTGCTTCCCGTGTATGTCGCGGGGCAGTCGCACGTGTAGCCGCCGATCGTGTTGGTACAGCTGCCCCCGTTGAGGCATGGGTTGACTCGCGATTACACTCGTTCACGTCCGTCTCGCAGTTGCTTCCCGTGTATGTCGCGGGGCAGTCGCACGTGTAGCCGCCGATCGTGTTGGTGCAGCTACCCCCGTTGAGACATGGGTTGCCTCGCGATCACACTCGTTCACGTCCGCTCGCAGTTGCTTCCCGTGTATGTTGAAGGGCAGTCGCACGTGTAGTCGCCGATCGTGTTGGTACAGCTACCTCCGTTGAGGCATGGGTTGGCCTCGCCATTACACTCGTTCACGTCCGTCTCGCAGTTGCTTCCCGTGTATGTCGCGGGGCAGTCGCACGTGTAGTCGCCGATCGTGTTGGTACAGCTACCTCCGTTGAGGCATGGGTTGGCCTCGCCATCACACTCGTTCACGTCCGTCTCGCAGTTGCTTCCCGTGTATGTCGCGGGGCAGTCGCACGTGTAACCGCCGATCGTGTTGGTGCAGCTGCCCCCGTTGAGGCATGGGTTGGCCTCGCCATCACACTCGTTCACGTCCGCTTCGCAGTTGCTTCCCTGCCATCCAGTTGGGCAAACACACACCGCCTCGCAGTTGCCTGCTGCTTCGCAGCCCTCACATGCAGTGGACAAGCATAACTCGCCCAGCTCTGTGTGCGCTGAGCAGGTCTCGTCCGTCGTGCAATTACCATCACAGGGCACATTGCACGTTGCACAATCGCCTCCTGACACGCAGGCAGCCGTTGTCCCACACGAGCACGAGCCCCACCGACACACTTGGTCGCCCTCGCAATCACTTGTCGTTGTACACCAGTTTGCATCTGGTACATCGTCCCAGATTCTTCGTTCCGTCCCCATACTCTCGTGGTAGGCATGAAGCTGGACCAGGTTGGGCTTGCTCATCATCTGGGCCACGTTCAAGAAGGTTGTCGTGTCGCGGAAGAGGTCTGTGGTTCAGGGGTTCAAAACGACACACACACACACACACACACACACACACACACAGAGCAAGCATGTTCCAATGGTCAGGAAGGTGGCGTGTCATTGGTATAACCCCAGCTATTCCCCTTGCCATGTCGGCAACCGAGGCTCGACTGCAGCGAGTGAAAAAAATAATAATAAAAACAACAAACTGTATTCCCCCCCCCCCCCCCCCCCCTTTT